GACAGACATAAAAGGATGGCACTTATTTGTGTAATGTAACGTAACATAATAGACAAACACCTAAGGACAATTGAAAGAAGGGTCTGGAGATCTGCCCCACAGCTTGATAGCTGATCTCATGCGCTGGGGGAAAAGGTAGCTGGGATGAGTAACTCCTGTGCATTGCCGGTGTGACCCAAAAAGCAAAAAAAAAAAAAAAAACAATGGTAGCTGGGATGAAGAGAGGACCACTAAATTAATGATGGTTGAAGGGATTGCTTGGGATAGTAGATGCACGTTGAAAGTAGACTAGGGACCAAATATGATGACTGCTTGTTACCTGTATTGCAAACCATAATACCCAAAAGAACAGAGAGAATAAGAGGGATCATGCCTTCCACAGAGGCAGGAGGTGGGAAGGGGTGGGGTTGGGGGGATGGATACTGGGAACATTGGTGGTGGAGAATGGGCACTGGTGGACGGATGGGTGCTTGAACATTGTTTGACTGAAATATAATCATGAAAGTCTGTAAGTCTGTAAATGTATCTCACGATGATTCATTAAAATAAAAAAGTAAGAATCAAAGCATGGAAAAATCAAAAGTAATACAAGTAGGAAGTAGGAAATTTTGGAATACTCTACAGTCTTTAGTGCAGAAGACAATTCATACCAGAATGGTGACTTAGATTGGTCAGCTTGAAGTTGGGAGTGGTAAGTTAGCATATGATATTTATTTGCTATTTTATCTAGAGCCTAAGCTCAATTTAGCTTAATCTAAATTTAAGAAATTTAGATCTTAAATTTCTTAGAATGTTTATTTTGTTCATTATAGTATCCTCATGCCGAAAATAGCATCAATACACAGTTAATGCTTAAAATTATTTGTGGAATACATAAAATTAATTGAAGATAAGATGTATTGATAGAGTAGATGATGAAAACATATTGAATGTTTTTCTATTTTTCAATGTCTTTGTATTTTTATACCTTCTCAGTGAGTTATATGCAAGATTTTGATAAGTAAGTGAAGGGAAGCAGAAGGTTATGAAACACGGAGGGAGAAAGTGTAAAGCATTGTAGAACATTGGGAAAATCACAGGCCACTTGAGGTTTGGGGAGATACATTTAAAATGGGACCAGTTAACACAGTATGGATTTTCTTCTAGATACTTAACTTAAGGTGCAGACAAGGGATGAGAGAGGTATAGAGTTGATCAGATTATGTGTTTTGTCTGACATGTACAATGGCAGACAAGAGCAAAGCCGCTGGTGTAATATGAATGTCCGTACTTATACTAATGGATCACAATATTCAAGCCAAGTAAGAGCTTGAGAAATAAAAAGTAAGCACACGCTGGGGGAGAAGCAGCTCAGATAGAGAGGGGAGCACCAAGTAAAGGGTGTTGGGAGGATCCTCCCAGGATGAGAGATGCATGCTGAAAGCAGACTATAGACCAAACATGATTGCCACTCAATGCATCTTTTGCACCCAAAAGGAGAGAGAGAACAAAAGGGAATGCCCTGCCACAGGGAGGTTGGGGGGGGGTATGCTGGGAGCATTGGAGGTGGGGAATGGGCACTAGTGTAGGGATGGGTACTCAAGCATTGTATAACTGAAACCCAAGCACAAAAATTTCTAAGTCTACAATTGTACCTCATGGTGTTTCACTAATAAATTTTTTTAAAAGAGTGTTGTTTGAAATACATTTTTTAAAAATTGGTACAATGGATGGCAATGATAATGTTCATAGGAATGTTTTCTGGAGAAGTGTAGGGTAAGAGTGTTGAGAAACCAGGAAGGAAAAGGCAAGAAGATTGGACTGAGCATCTGCATGGATGTTGAAGTTGTTAAAATGGTTGGAATGGTAGTCAAGTTTCAGTTGCTAAAATATGCTAAAACATTTTAGTATGGGAGTGACTAAGAGGTGGCAAGGAGATCCCCACAAAAGTTTCAGGCTGATGGAAGCATTTCAGAGCATCTGTGATTTTAAAGGAGAAATGGTTGAAGTGGCAAAGAACAGCCACTAGAACAAACACTGGTCACTATCAGAGCAGACTGTGACAGAGTGAGGCAGTCATTAGATGCTCAGGATTCTGTTCTACCAAGAAGAAAAGAGAACAGGCAGGCTTAGTTTAAATTGAGTAAATTAATAGCCTTTTGTAGGAAAACTTTTAACAAAAATGTCTTGAGTTATGCTTGATTTTTGCACATTCGAACAGTAGTTCATAGCTTTTCTTGTGGGCCACACCAGCTTTCTTTGCCTTTTTTTTTCAGTAGTTGTGGGGCTGGGCAGGGATGTTCACGGGTTATGTTCAGGAGGTCTAAGGGTACCTCCTGGCAGTGTGCAGTGCCCCAGGATCATACAGTTCCAGAAGGGAGCCGGGTCAGCCGCAAGCAGGGAATGAATCTGAGCTCTGTCACAGTCTTCCTGGCTTCTCAATGATTGTTCTTGGGGTTAGCATAGCTTTGGGGGTCAAATCTCATCAAGCAAGGCCATGCCGGCATTAGTACTGATACTTAGAAAACAGGGTCACATTCATGTGTCCATTCAAAATGCAGGTTTTGTTTTTTCCAGGAAGAATTTGAGGAGTGTTGTTCTGAACTTTACATAATGTATTCTGGTCAGAATTGAAATAGAAAATTAGCCAAAGAAGCCAGAGAAAGAATAGTGAGGTTAAGAAAAAATCATAGCATGAATTCCTGCAAAAAAAAAAAAATGAAGTGAGGTTTAGTGACAGCGCTGCTGTGTCTGACAGTGCTGTGGCTGACACACCTGACGCTCACCGTGAGCGTTTCTTGGTGCAAGGCATAGACCTAAGAGGCTTTGCGTAGACCAAGTGACTGAGTCCAGTGGAAATCTAGAGTTACGGCCCCTGTCTCTCCTTTCCTCCCGTGTTTCAGCACATTCACCACTTCTGTCTCCATCCATCATTCCTGCAGTGCAGACACAGCTCTCACAACATGCTGCGTCTTTACGGACCATGCACAGCTCCTGTGCTCATTGTTCTCTGCCAGACTCCTGCTGCACTGCCGTCTCCATGCTCCCTTCCCTGGAACAGCCCTGTGCTGCCTGCTCTCAGTAAGACACTCTACTCCCACTTCCCCTGACTGTCTCCAGGCTCACCACCCTGGGATTGTGCCCCTCACTAAAACACAATCTCGTTGGTCCTGGTCACACTTTGTTTTCTGGAAAACCTACACCAAAATGTATTATCTTAATTAAAATTTGAGTTAAATGTACACATTTACATTTTTATCGTGTTTTTTTATGATTGTAAATTATGAGCAACGAAAATTGCTAGATACTGAAGGTATATTTTATAGGTGTCATTATTGTAGTGCTGGTTTGATAGAGCCATCTGTTGTTGCATCTCATGATTCTAATTATAGTAGCTCTTGGAAGTTAATTGCAAGTATCAGTAACGACTATTCGGATAGCCGCCCATTGATTTTTTGTGGCTTGCTTGATAATTATTTTCTAGGAAAATCATTAATTACAAATTGCAATGACAAAACCCAAATCTTCTCCTGCACTCCCCAGGAGCCTGGAAAGTTCAAAGCAGGAAGGAAATACTAACCTCTGGGACATCAGGATATTGGGAGGGTGTGATGCAGTGGCTGTCAGGACACACCTGCAGAGCGCCCTGTATCTGACCCCAGCAGTAGGCAGCCTAGGAATGCAAAACAAACGGCCTTTCCTTAGTGTCAGAGACTGACTGGCCCAGTTTTTAATTCATTCAGTCATGTGTATGTACATTTTATTTGGTATACTTCTTCCTTTTAATTCTAATTTTTGCCCATTTTCTTGGCTGAGAACACTGAATATTAAACAGTAGTTGTTTCAGAGAACAAGACACATTTATTAAATTTTCAAAGAATTTTTTCTTGGTTAAATTTTGTACTGGAGAATAAAAATCAAGTAAATGAATGCTGTATATCATCATCTTAAAATCTGTGTTTGACCCCCTGTTTCTTCCCCAGAGGAAAAACAGGTAGAATTCATTCTCGTTTGTGTTTTTGTGTATGTGCTCGTGGATTGAGCCTTCATAAATGTACAGTAGGTGCTGTACTGCTGACCTGTATCCCTGGCCCTCACTCTTCAGTACAGAGACAACTCCTAGTTCTCTCCCAAAAAGCTTGACAGAAGATTACACTTAAGTCTCTTAAATTTGTTTATAAAATCATGCAGTCTGACAGTCTGAGCATTCTGGGTAGCTTCAGATAGTAGAGCCCTGTTCAAGAGCAGGTTCTATTGATATATTGCTTAATGTGTTTTGTTGATAGCTGCCGGCAGCCGAAACTAACCTGGAAAACTTAAGTAGAATAGGAGCGTAGTGTTTGTCTAATGGACAGTTCAGAGAGGGAAGCAGTGCTTATTTTCAACTCACAAATGTTATCTTTTTTCTCCCCGTCTTCCTTTTTATTTTCAGCTAAGTGGTAACCACATGGTATTAAAACCAGTGACCACTGGTAATGAGAGATGTTATTCTCTCTTTTATTTTGCTCTCATGGCTTCAGAGAAAAAGAAGTTCTTATTTTTCAGTCACTTAAGCAGCGCTTCTGTGGAGAACACTTTTTGCATGGCTTTTGCCTGATGACTCTCCCTGGGCCCGGATCATAGTGCTCTGATGGGCTGGGCAGTGTTGGACACTACCTCTGGGTCTCACAGGCAGTGGACAAGGCTTCCTGGCTGGGGAGCGGGATTCAGGAAAGAAAGGAAGAGATGGAAGTGGGGAGCAGAGGTGAATGTTCATCTCCATGGTGATGGGCTGACCTTTCCTAGAGGGGAGAGTGAGGGTTCCAACAAGGGTGATTCCTGCTTCTAACTTGTTCTTCTTTAATCTGAAACAACAGTAAAGGCGGGAAACAGCTTGGGGTGTGGAGAGGAGGGAAGAAAGAGGCACCAGAGAAACACCTAGGTACTAGCCTCTGCTGTTCCCTGATGGACCCGGGCATGGTTGTTTCTGATTCTTGCTGCAGACAGTTTCTTTCAGTCTATCTTTTATTTTGTCTTTTTAGGTGGACAAAAAAATCGTGAGAACTGAAATAGGAGTTCTTCTTCGCCTCTCACATCCAAACATTGTAAGTGCGTTTTTTTATCTTTGTCTTCAAATGATCTTCACAGTTCTAGAAAGAGATTTTTGTTCTTTGCTGATAAAGAGGAATTTTTCCCCCACCCCAATACCACTCTGACCCACCTCTTATCCTTATCACACTATTTTTTTCAATTTTTTTAAAGAGCACAGGGTTATTCCACCCAGCAGTGCTCAGGGCTTCCTCCAGGCTCTGGCTCAGGGTTCACTCCTGGTGAAGCTCAGGGACCCAGATGTGGAGCCAGGATTGAACCCAGCTCTGCAGCTTGCAAGGCAAGTGCCCTGCTTGCTGTATTATTGTTCTGTCTCTCTCTTTCTTTTTTTCAATTCTTTTGTTGAATGAATCCTAAAATAATAGCCTCTAAAAACTTCAAACTGAATGAAGCAGCTTCTTTATATCTGTGGTGAAATGATCACTGAAATTAGGAGCATTCCTTATCACCCTAATAGCACACTGGCTTTTCCCTTCTTTTGTGTATCTATCTCATTAATATGCCACCACTGAAAAAGGTTGAAGAAAAATTGCATTGCTTTCCAAAGTCATTTCAGTCTTCTTTGAAAGACTGCTACAGAGACCGTGTGAGGACTCAAATAAATGATTGACATGAATAGGGGAAGTAAAATGCCCTCGGCAGCTTCTCTTCAGGCTGTCCAGTCAAAGGTACTAAGGAGCAGTCTGGCAGGAAGCTTTCTGGGCCAGATGAAATAAAATAAAATAAAATAAACCATAGTTATTTTCTAGTTATATTCAATGATTTTAGGAACTGAGTTACCTAATTAAATATATTTTACTCATTTTTTGAGAGTTGTAATCTCCAAGAAGATGACTTCGGCAAAGCCTTAAAACTTGAATATTGTTGTCTAAAAGTGGTTCCTTCTGATACCAAAAATGAGGGGTGTATCTAAACTAGGATGGGGGGGGTGGCGCTGGTTGGGACTACCCAGAGGAAGAGTCTGGTCATCTCTAACAATTCTGAGGGGATGAAGAGAGACTACCTCCTTTGAGGATTCCAGGGAGGTCAAGGAACCATTTTCCCCAAACCCTGCTTCTCTCCCTAGAGATTTCCTCTGGACTTCCACGAAGGAACTCATCACTGGTGAAGGGGAGGTGGGAGGGTCCTCTGATAGATACATCCGTGAGCCTGGAATGGTGGATTATTCCTGCATAACAGGAATTATTATTCCTGCATCACCTCAGGGTACAGACAGGACCCAGACACTGTCCACCCTTGGGTGCTACTGTTCTTGGTACTGATAAGCAGTTTCATGATCTGGGCATGGTTACTCCATAGTCTGCAAAGGGCTCACAAGAAGTGGTCTGATTAGAAGAGAAAATATTTTACAAGAATTTCCAGCTAAACTGATTCCCTTCAGATTTCTGTGGCCGTCATTGGTCACAAGATCACCCTTAATTGTATGGAAGCAAGGAGATCAGGAAATGGGGTGGTAAGAAGTATCTAAAGCAGTCATGATTTGGAACTGAGGACTCAGAACCTTATTTCCAGGAGTCAACTCAGAGTTCTTACCATTTTGGTTAGGCGCTGAGGGCTGTGGTAAGCAGTGAGCATGTTGCTGTGTGCAGTCAACATTTTGACATTATCTTTCCTTTTTTAAAAAAATGGAAATCAGTATGAAATTTATATAAATGTAGATCAAACTTGGTATGTAAATTTTAAAATGTAGGAGGAAAATACCCAGAACTGGGTGGGTCACTGGGATGTGCTGAGAACTTTGTGGTGTATAGTCAGTCCCTGCCACTCTCATTTTCCTAAGAAGTTTGTTTTCCTACAGCGACTTTCTCTCTGTTGAGAGCACTGTTCCCTACAGACTCACTGGGACACTCTTTTACCTCAGACTAAAAATTCCACGTTCTTTCCTAGGAAAAATGGGTATTTGCCTTTCTTGTAATGATCATGCCCATGTCTTAGAAAATACTGTTTGTTTTGTATTATTTGCTTAGTTTTTCAAATTCTGGATTAATGCAGAAAATAAAAATATTTTAAGTGTTTCTTTTTTAACTCTTGGGAGGAAAAATGTAAAGGCTTAAATGGATCTTTGGAAAAATAAGGAAATTGATTTTAAAAAAATAAAGCAAATCAGCATGACAAATGTCTACCTGCACTAGAAATCAAGTCCTGATTTAGAATTTAACTTTTTACCATTACAGGAGCAGTTCTATAGCCATAGTGTAGCTATTTTCAAACATTGAAAAGTAAGGAATTTTCAAAACTCTTCTATAAATTTTTCCTCAGATCAAACTTAAAGAGATCTTTGAGACTCCTGCAGAAATCAGTTTGGTCCTAGAGCTCGTGACAGGAGGAGAGCTGTTTGACAGGTGAGTGGTCCTAGGATGCAGACAGGTTTTGCTTCTCATACCAAGAAGGAACTGTGTATGTTCACAAAATAAATAAGTGAGCAGGCAGCAGTGGTGGTGGTCTCTCTTGCCCACCAACAGATGCAGGAAGGAGGGAACAGTGCCGCCAAGCTGGTTGGTGATCAGTTGCCATTTATTCCATTCTCCCTAAATGCCTGTTCCAGTCTCACTAAGTGCCCCATCCCAGTCTCACACTGCCCCTCATTCCCATCTCCTCCAGTTCCCCATGCTAGTCTCTCCATGCTCCATCTCGCAGCCTTGATCTAGCCCAACCTCCAAGCATTGGGGGTAGCAGCTATACCCAGGTGAGGTAGCACAATCAACATATGAAAGCCCTTCCTTCTGAGGGAAGCTCTTCTAAGATAAAATGAAAATCTCCTGCAGCAAAGGGCAAAATACCACCTAGGGGTGTGTTTCTCCTTTCCTTAGTCCAACCACCATCTTAGATTTACTTCTAAATAATCTTTCTAGTCATTTTGTATGGACAAAATAAGAGATATATTAAGCTTGTAGGGTGGCTCTCTGGGGACATCTCGCTATAGATCCAAAACTACAGTGCTCAGATTAGGAAAGATTAGTCTTTCCTAACCCTAGCAGGGTCCTAATCCAAGTTGTTACTCTTTGGATCATGACAAAATTTGTCCGTGACCGTGCTCTTAACTTATAGTTAAGTATTATGGTGCTTGGCCTGGCTCCTTCCGATGCCAGGGTACCTCACAACTTGCCCTGGCTCCATCCAGTCCATTCATCAGGATCCTACTTTGGTGGTGCTAGGAACTAAGGGCAACTGAGGCTTAAGTCGAGAAAACAGATGCCCAGGAGTGAATATTATTTGGAGTCAATTAACTCTCAAGTTACAAAAGCATAGCATCTTCCTGTGTCTATACAAAAAGGATATTGCTCTGAAAACAACTATGCAAAAAGACATAAGGGGAGGAGAAAAGCAGTATTTCACTTACAAATGCAAAATCAGAGATTTCTGAGAGATTTGACTTTACAAGTCACAGTACTGTTTAGAGGGAATTGGTGATTAACGGATTGGGGAAAAGAGCACAGAGAAATTAAAGATAAATACAAAAGGAATGGGAGTGCCTGGGGAGCATTTTGATGGGTGTAACCCAATATAAATCTAAGCTCCCTGCAGCCAGGGAGAAATGACAAACCAAAGTTATGCTACAGGAATAAAAGAAAAATTTCTCTTCAAAATTTCATACACTGATCATGCCACTATTAAAAATGCTACTTTAAGAAATCTTTTTGTAAGTAAAGAGAGAGTGAAAAATTGCCAGTGGACAAAAGTTTGTAATGCTGAATGAGTAAAAGGAGACAAGAGTAAAATAGAATAAACCAGTTTAATATTTAATGCATCTATTTCCTAGTTTAAAAACTGAAATTTCAGGGCTGGAGAGACAGTACAGAGGGTAAAGCATGAGAATGCAGCTGATACAGGGCTCAAACCCTGGCACCCCATATGGTCCTATGAGCATTGCCAGAAGTGATCCCTGAGCATAAATAAAGCCCGAATCACCATTGGGTATGGCTCAGAAAAACAAAACAAAACAAAATAAAAAAAAGCAAACAAAAATTTCTAGCTGCAATAAATTAAAAATAAACAATAAGGTCTATGCCATGATTTATAATACTGTTGATGATAGTTCCATGAATACAATATTCCAGTACCACCCTCAGAAGACCACTTCCCTCCACCAAGGTTCCCTCTAACCACCACTTTCCTCCCACCCCTGTAAGCTCAGTTCTGTGGACAAACTCTCAGGTCTGTTGCCTTCGGGCATTTTAAAACCCCGTATTATGTGTCCTTCTAGCCCACATAATGAGAGAGGATTCTTACCTGTCCCTCTCCTTCTGATTGCTTAACTCTTCATGATACCTCTGCTTCCATCCACATCATGGGCAACTGCATGACATTATCTTTCCTTCTAGCTGAGAAATATTCCAGGGTGTATGCGTGTGTGTGCTTGTGTGTGTGTGCTTGCGCATGTGTGCATGTGTGTGTGCATGTCTGTGAACAGTACATTTTCTTTATCCGTTCATCTGTTCTTAAACTGTTGTTTCCAAATCTTTTTTTTTCTTTCTGTGAATAGTGTTGTAATTTACATAAATAACTTAGGAGCACAAATATCTTTTGGAATTAATGTTTGGAGAGCCTTGGTATATATAAGTGCCAGTAAGTGGAATTGCTCCCTTGTATGGAAACTCAATTCTTAATTCTTTGAGATGCATCTCTAATGTTTTTCAAAGAGGTTGAGCCATTTGATCTTTGCCAGCAGTGGACAGCCCTGAGATTTTAAAAAGTGCCACAATCGAGGCTCTTTCAGGGTCAGGAGAATGAGACCCATCATTGTTACTGTTTTTTGGCATATTGAATTTGCCACAGGGAGTTTGCCAGACTCTGCCGTGAGGGCAGGATACTTTTGATAGCCTGCCAGGTTCTCCAGAGTAAGAACTAGATAATAAGATGTTAAGACCATTCTATATGCATGGAGAAAATATTTGCTTGCGTAGGGCCTTGCAAGCATCCAACATGGCTGACCTGAGTTCGATTCCTCTGCCCCTCTCGGAGAGCCTGGCAAGCTACCAAGATTATCTTGCCCTCACGGCAAAGCCTGGCAAGCTACCTGTGATGTATTCGATATGCCAAACACAGTAACAATTGTCACAATGGAGACGTGACTGGACCCACTCGAGCAAATCCATGAACAACGGGAGGACAGTGACAGTGACTCATTTGACAGAGTATTAGTAGTCAATCCATATAAAGCACTTGTAAAACTTAACAACAACAATAAATCTTAAACAACCCTATTAAAATAATGGGGGGAGGGCTGGAGAGATGAATTCACTTCTCTAAAGAAACCATATAGGAGGCCAAAAGATACGTGAAAAATTCTCTTCATCGCTTACCATACCATTTTATGAGAAAACAAGTTATGAAAATTAAGAAATTAAAAATTTGCTAAAAGTAGTTTTTTATAATCAAATACTGTAGAAACTGATACTCTTAAAAATAATGAATAAAGAACTGTAATCTGTTAGCATGTGAAGAGTTTCAGGTTGCAGAGTAAATCATGTTTTGTTATAGCCAATTGCAGCCAATTTGCACTGTTTTTATGTTTATCACTCCAGGTAAGGGCTTGAGGGTGAATAGTGGGTATGCCTAAAATATGTTAGAACATAACAAACGTTTTTTATAGCCTTTTTACCTTCTCAGGAATATTCCTCTTTTGCTCTCATGGGTCACCAAGGTTTAAAAAAAAAAAGTACAAATTAAAAGAAAACACTGAGTAGACCTATATTACCTACCAATGGTCATGAAACTGCTCTGGTATAAAATTTGTGTTGAAGATCATGAGTTGCCCCCCACGAGTGGCTCTCCAGCACAGCCGTGGCCCCAGAGGCACATGGACCTAATTCGGAACCCAGCAGCTTTTGACAAAAATGTGAATGGACTATGCATTAAGCTACAGTTCTGTGGCCTCCCAGGAGGGAAAGGGTGTCTGTCTCTTCTGCCTTTCCACACCTCCCCCAGCAGCACGATGGCTGCCATCTTAGAGCTTATTGGACAACCAGGTATGAGCTAGCAGTGACAGGGCAACAGCAGCCTCATGGGATGGGGGGCAGAATTGGCATGTCCTTCCCACCCCACGAGACCATGAGTTGCCCCTCATGAGCAGCTCTCCAGAATGACCATGGCGCCAGAGGCACACAAACCAATATTGGAACTATGTGGCTTTTGGCAGAAATCTCTCCAGACTTACTTAGTAAGATATCAGAAATCCAAAATTTACATCATATTGTCTTCATAACCAGCAACAGAAAACAAATTATTTCATGATGCCATTTCAGCAGGTTTGATTGTTGGGGGAAAATTCCAAATAATAATGGTGCATCTTTTGTCGAAATATTGAATGTAGTCAAAGTAGAGAGAGAGTAAGTGGAAATCATCTGCCTCACAGGCACGGGGAGGGGTGGGTTGGGGAGTATATTGGGGTTCTTGGTGGTGGAAAATATGCACTGGTGAAGGGATAGGTGTTTGATAATTGTATGACCGAGACTTAAACCTGAAAACTTTGTCACTGTTCTCATGGTGATTCAATAAATAAATTTTTAAAAAATTGTGTTGAGAATAGGTTAAAAGCTAAGGGCAGACAGAAACCAGAAAGAGATTGATACAGAATTGTTGATACAGCTTGAGTGCCTGAATCACACACACACACACACACACACACACAAAATGCTCAACAAATGTTTTACTGAATGAGTGAATGAATGAATGAATGGAGTGGACTGTGTTGAGCAAGATATCTAAAGAGGATAGGTCTTGAGGCTCCTGAGATATGCACATCTCACCCCTTTCTTTCCAATTGAACTTTACCCAGTGAATAGTTACTACTATTTCTGGAAATTTCAAAAGTACTTACATTACTTTTTAAAGTTTCTCTTTATTTTTAAATGTTACAAAGTACAGAGTTGTTACCTTCTGGCAACAGATTCAAATGGTCTAGCTTTGGTGAGGCTTCATGCATATATTTTCAGCATGCATATATTTTCAGGATGCATATGTAGTTTTGTTCATATATATACATATAAATTTCTTTAGAACAGGCTAACCAAACTAGTCACTCTAGTAACATTTTAATTATTGGTATAATTATTCTTTCTTATTTTGTTTTGGGACCACAACTAGTGATACTCAGGAGTTACACCTGATGGTTCTTGAGGGGTCATATGTGATGCTGGAGACCAAGGGTCAAATCCTGGTCACATGCAAGGCAAGCACCATACCCAGAGTACTATTTCCCCAGCCCCAAATTACTAGCATAATTATTCTTTTTTTATTTTTTATTAGTGAAACACCGTGAGGTATAGTTGTAGACTTAGAGACTTTAATGTTTGTGTTTAAGTTATACAATGATCAAGTACCCATCCCTCCACCAGTGCCC